ACACTGCAGAAACTCTAATTAACCTACCCTTTTCACCCTCTTGAAACCACGGCAAAGAAGTGGTTCAGCATCTACTAATTAATTGTGAGGCATTGTTGGAAAATTTAAAGAGTATGCTATGTTTTCTTCCACGAATGACTTAAAATCTAATGAAAGAGAACCAGACAAAACAAAAGCAACAAACATTAGACTTGTTCCTGGTCAAAGCCAAAAGCATCACCTCAGACTGAGTGGTGAGCACCTCCAGAGCGCCAGGCACTGCTTGCTGCTGCTGCCCTCTCTCTCTTCAACACCTGCCTCCTATGTCTTAACCCTGTCTCCTGCTGGTTCCCAGTGACTTCTCACCACACTCCCTACTCTCCAGGGCTCCATTACAGTCTCTATTTTTTTGCTCTAGTTTCTCCCTGAGCATTCTCGACACCTTCAATGGCTTCAACTAGGAAAATGAAGCCAGTCCTAACACTGCCTGCCAGTCCCTCATCCTGACTTTGAACCTCAATTTGATACCACGAACTTGAAGTATTCAGAAGTCACAAGTGCCCTACCTGTGGTTCTCTCCAATCCACCCCCCAGCACAGTTAACATTACTCTCTTCTTAAAGAGGAGGTTTCCCTGCTAGGCTCCAGGCCTGTGCCAAAAGACAGGTATCTGACACATCACTCACCTACTAAAGACCATTCCTTCCACAGGCATCAGTGTCCAAGATGAAATTTAAAGACTACCATAAGATAGCAAAGACCTGCAATTCCCTTAGCATTGTCATTTTTCACAGTTGTCTTCCCCCATTTGCCTCATCACACGCACACTCATGTGTTCTCCCTCACTCTTTCTTCCCAAGCCTCCTTCCTCCCCCTCACAACTGCGCGTGCGCGCGCACACACACACACACACACACACACACACCCCTCTGCTGCCCGGGCACATTGACTATACACTAACACAGGTTATGCTTTCAACCTGAAAAGATCATTCTCCTTTCCTGCTCAGGAAACTCATCTCCTATGACAGCTGTTGAACTCTTCTCAGAAGATTCCTGACTTCAGTGACTTGCACTAACTGGGCCCTGACCTTGGCAAGGCAAGAAGTCTGGCACGGGAGCTGCATCTGAGCAGCAAGAAGCAGTCCTTAACCTCAAGGAACTCATTCCAGGACTGCAAGCTCAGTTTCCTTCCAGCACTAGGCCCGCAGATGACAGGGGTGAGCAGAACGGCCCAGGCACATCCTTGCACCCTTTTTCCATTAAACACTTAGCTTAGCTAGTCTATTTTTATTTTCCCATTTTGGGGGAGTGACATCAACCAAGAATTATTTCATACTATGAAAAATCCAAGAACTATTTTTCACTCTGCAAAGAAATATTCTCACTGCCATTTTTTTTTCTTTTTCAGAAACCAGGTCCCTCTTGACCTTGAGTACATTTGCTTTTCTCTGATGAGATCATACTACAAGATTATTCACTCTCCTTTCAATTCTATTACAAACAAGTCACAGGGGCGTGCGGAAGCACACACACAGGTGGTAAGTGGCAGCAATATTAGCAGGATTAGACAAGAGTGCAGCAAGTGCTGGCGGGGGTGGGATGTGTGTGCGTGCGTGTGTGTGTGTGATCTAGCCAGCTGACACGTCTGTGCAGGCGCTGCGCTATGACCGGGAACACAGACCTGTGCAGCGCACCCCGCCGGAGGTCCCGGGAGGCTGGGGCCTGGGGCAGAGACTGCGGCGCTAATCAGTAGTGGATGTGTGCGCTACCACCCTCCTCCCACAGGGAGTACGCAGGGACGGGACCAGTCCTGCTGCTCCCAGCGTCAGCTGAGGAACTCGTTACATTTGGGGAGTCGAAATAGTCCTTATTCTTGATCTGCACTTTAATTATTTAAGGATTTCAAAAATATCCCCTAGATTATTAATTCTAAGAGAAAGCACTATAATTTACTTAGCTCTGCTTCTCCTAAAGCCTAATGCAGATTCCTACATATAATCCATACTCAAAAACTAAAGCAATTTCTCACTAAAGAACTGGTTTTGTCTGATTCTAAACTCAAATACAGGTGGTTAGACAGCCATGCTTTCTTTTTTTGAAAAGAACGAGTTAGACGCTCTTGTGCTTAAAATGTTCCAATGACTCTTTGCCTCGTGATGAAGACCAATGTTATCACAAAGACTACAAGGTGCAAGTCCGCCACCCCCACGCTGGTCTGCTATTCAGAGAGCAGCCCTCGCTGGTCAGCCCTGCATACGAGAGCGCGCACACACACATGCACACACGCACACACAAACACACACACACACACACACGTGCGGCCTCATCCCACCCAGCACTCTATTTCCTTTACTGGCCATCCTTTCCCATGGCACATATCACCTTCTCATCTCCTGTGCGATTCCTTCATGTGTCACCTCTCTCCGCAGCGAGCATGGAAACACCACAGCACAGGGATTTGGGTCTGCTCTGGTCACTGCTGTATCCTCACTGTCTAGAACTGAGTGTGGCACTAAATAGATGCTCAGTAAATATTTGCAGAATGATTTTCCTTTTAAACAGTAGAAGCATATAGCAGAATGTGCCTTTTGTTTAAAATAAAAAGTCCCTTTCCTTGGTTCATTATTTTATATGGGATGAAAGCATACAGTCTCATACACATATTTAAAATATTGTCTGGTGATTGCCTAGAAGTAATAGAACTGTACTTTGGTTAGCCAACTGCACTGGGTTCTCTCCCCACAGAGCATGTCCCCTGAGGTATTCATTCATAGAGGTTTTCATGTTTACATTTAGCAATAAGACCAATAGTGATGGTATAATCAAATAATCTGAAGCAGAGTTCTTGTTTGAGGTTACATTTCAACATAAACCAAAAAAATACTGATAGACATTTTAATGACCACAGTTTACATCTTATACACCAATAGGAGAAGTTTAAAAATTCCTTAAAAGTTATTAATCAGTGTATGATTTCAAATGATGACTAAATACAAGACCACATATACGCATAATACAAAAGCACACATTTTAGATCAGAATCACACGGGTTGTTCTGTAGAAATTTTCTGTTGCTATTTCTATACATACAGACTTCACAAAATACCAAAATGTTATTAGTCACTGACCAGCTTTTCTCTTTTCCTTATTTCATGAAAACATCTGTTCTTTATACTGCCAACAATAATTCAGCTTGACCTTTTTCATACTGTGAATAGATAACTTCTGGAAGCCCTAACTTACACATATGAAGTTAAAAGTGTAAAAGAGAGAAAATAAGGTTATAAAGCATTCCTTCATTCCTTCAGCAAACATCACCAATAGTTACTGAGTGCCTGCTATGTGCTCACCACTGTCCCCAACAGATAAATAATGGAGACCCTTGGTTAAGATCACAAACATCCATCTTACCTCTCTGAGAGAAAAGGACAGAACTCCAGTTCTACAGTAAAATCACAGCTAAAGAAACCCTGCTAACTTTCAAAAACAATAAAATGAGGGTCTGAGAGCTCACGAAATGATTTCACATGAAACATCAATAGCACTGACAGGAATTACCTCTTTTTTATACACTTGACTACTGAATTACCAAAACCAGAATGAATCAGTTTGCTAGGATGGCTACTTACACTAGTTAAGTCTCTCATATTTTACTTAATAATAACTATTTCCAAAATTAAAGGCCACAAAATTCCACCCACATGGCCTTACAACAAATTGAAAAATTTCTCAACAGTGCTAATCTATGTTTTTGTTATTTTTGTTGTTCTGATTTGTTTTTGTGAGGCTGGCGATCAAATCCAAGGCCTCACACATGCTAGACAAGTACTCTGCCACTGAGCAACGCCCATACCCTCCACCTAGGTTTTAAATGAACTAGTTCTAGAATATTACCACCAAATCATACAATCTCTGTATTTCCTCCAAGGAAATATCTTGGTGATCACTTTGTTAATACCTTTATTGCTTATTCTTGCTTATTCTTCAGTTTAAAAATGTTCTTCCACAGATCTTCAGTGCTTCTGAGCTTAGAAGAACTTAACATCACTGAGAAACTAAAGCCATGTGACCATTTTTATAGAATCCAGGAGCAAAAGGGAGTCTGATGTCATATAGCTTTGGTCATACGAATTCCTACCAAATGATCCAATTTCCTAGCATCATTCAACATCACTGTCTGGTTTATACCAACGTCTAAAGAAGAAATAGCATGTTCCATTAAAAAAATTACTCTGACTTTTAGGAATGACTTTCGTTTTCTGATCTGAAAGTGATCTCCGATAACTTTCTCTTACTGGCTCTCCAGTTCTCTGGAGCTGGGAACAGAGACAGAAACAATCCAAACCCTCTTCTGTGAGATAGTTTCCAAATGTGCCTAACAGTCTCCTTACTGTTCCTCCTGACTATGGCCTCAGGGCCCTCACCAGCCAGGCACAATCTTAATAAAATGCAGCCCCCAGCACTGACTGTGAATGGGCAGATAAAGCAGCACCTCTTCAGAGCACAGTATCTCTAGTAATTAAGCCTACAAATAAATTGCATCTGACAGCCCTGTGACACTGTTGGATGAAACTGACACCTAGGCAAGGTGAGCAGAGCAGGGCGGCCAATGGAGGTCTCGTTCCCTCATCCTGCCCCTGCTCCTTCTCTCTAAGGCACCTACCTCTTCAACTCGCCTCACCATTCACATCTCCTGGGAGCCATGCAGAGGGTCAGCCGGCCCCTCAAAGTCTATATACCAATAAGAGTGTTACCTCCACTCACCACAGAAACCTCTTTGTCATGAGCTGATGATAAGATGCACACTGGGTAAATTGTTCCTGATACCAAGTTTCCAGGCAGATGGCATCGTCAAAGTTGACATTTTTTTCTTTAAAACATTAAAAAACCTACATGCTTACACAGGATATCAATATAAAATCATCAGAGGCTATGATTCTTTTTTTCCTTAAAGCTTTATTGCTTTAAAGATTTTTTTATACTACTTAAATCCACGCAAAATTTTATAAAGTTCCATAGATATCAACAGTTCATAAATTCCAAGGGGCTTTTGGATAGTTTTTTAAAAAATTGGTATCAGAAAAAATTTCACTTCCTATTTTTTTTTTAAAGTAGCCTCACGAATATGTGAGGCTAACCGATCACTACTATGCTCAGTCAGTCACAGGGTGACAGGAAAAAAGGCAACACCATAAAAGGGTGTCTGCACAGTGTCTCTTAAAGCAACATGCCAAGCTGCACTGACTTCAGTTAGGGCAAATACTAACTGCTGCTCAGAGACTGGGACAAGCTGCTGCTATGTAAGTACTAGAATCTGTGCTTTGACAACAGATTCTTTTGGGGAAAACTTTTAAGTCTTAGGTTTTAAGGTAAACGGATCAATTTAGAAAGTAGCTATAAACACTTCTAAGAAAAATTATGTTATCAATGCAGTGTAGATTCTCTGCTTGCTGGCAGTTCTAATTAGCTGTTATGAAACAAGGTGAAAGCAATGAATGGGTGATGCCAGAAATATTGCCCCAACATAGGGCTGACGTTGTGTACTTTGATGTGGACTCACAATGACAAAAAATTGTGAAGCCAATATTTCAGGATAATTTAATATGAATGGAAAGAAACAAGGCTATTTAAAATGAAGTGTTCTGCATTTGAATGTGTTTTTTATATGATATAAAGCACAGTTTAAAATAAAATTCATCACATTTTCCTATGTGACCATTCTTTTACCTATCTGTGTACTAAGTCTTTTCTGTATTTAAGATTATTTTTCTGGACAGAATCTCACAAATAAAATTTGTAGAGCAAAGGGTGTATTTTCGAAAGCTTTGGACATAAAACAGTATTTTTTTTGTTTACTAAAATATTGTATCAATTTACCCTCCTACCAGTAAAGAGTAACAGTCTGAGCTTTCCTTCTCTCGGATATTTTAATTCTGAAGATAAATTATTAGATGAGCAAAAAAATAAGACCTCGGTTGTTTGGTATTTATTTGATGATCAGAAAGGCTAAACATGCTACCATATTTTTTCTACAAATTCTTGCCTTAAAAAAAAATCACAAAAGCATAAATTACATGATGTCGTGATTTGCCAGTATTTCCATTCAGGTTGAGAATGTGGTGACAAACGCTTGGTAAAATATAAGCTGTGAAGAGGCTTCCTCTAAAGATGGGTGTTGGTTTTTTGTGTGTGTTTTTGGTAAGGTCTCCAATTTTTTGGTGTCACTCTGAATGCAAAATAATGTTAAGAGCAGGGCCTCTGGAATCAGGCTCAGACCTGGGCTCCATTATTTGCAAGCTGTGTGGCCTCATGCACGTTATCTTAACATCTCTGGCTTTGGTTGCTTCATTTGGAAAATGAAGAACATTTCTGTCAAGTCTTTCTAACAATGACTTTCGTAGTAATATGAACATTCTGTCTACAATTTTTCTCCCTGCCTCTGCTCATGAAACTACCAAAGGATAAATTCAACAGGCAAAGTTTCCTTGCCCTGCCATCTTTTTCTCAAATTTATTTGAAGGTCTTTATTTTATGGAATTTTTTACATAAGGACTCTGAGTCTAAGTGTGTTTATAAACATCTTCCTGTGCTTTCTAGTATTTCAGAGAATGTTTTGTTAATTGTACTTTTGAACCTAAAACTGTAAGAGCCTACGGCTCCACAAAGCAATCTCACTCTCATTGTCACGTGTCGTGTGGGTGACTGCAGTGAGAATTCCTTTCATACGTTGGCTTCCTAGAGTTTATTAGCACCGTGACCAGTCATTCAATGGAATAAACACTATCTCAGGTCACTCTATGACTCTCATGTGTGTACTAAACTAAACTACAGGCATTTACTAGATATCTATTGCAGGTAGGTTTGCGAGATAAAAATGTGTCAGACAAAGTCACCCTTAGCGCGCCCATCTAAAAGGGAGCCCAGCACCTAAGAGTTCACCAGGGAGACCGTTTGCTGTCGTGTTTGAGGCCCCCTGGAGGGTGCCAGGCACTGAGGATGTGTAGTATACCCGAGTCTATCAGCTTCCCAAGAATTCTACACAAGATGAGGCAGGCATATGAAAATCCCCTGAAAACTACGGGGGTCAGAGATTCTTGTGGTATTTTGGAAGCATGAAGAAAAGAATAAAAAATATATTTTTAGAGCCAGGGATTTAGCTCAGTGGTTTCGCCGCCTGCCTCACAAGTGCAAGGTCCTGAGTTCAATCCCTGGTATATATATAATTTTTTTTTAATATCTGCAAATAACTAAAAAGCAGAATAAAAATAAAACAGTAGCATAAAAGCTATTCAGGTATTCACCATCTTCTTTTGACGAAATTCCAGTCTAAAACTACTGCTAAAAAGAAAATCTAAAGTAATTTATAAAATCCTTACCTACTTCAAAATATGCTACAATTTAATGAAGTCCTTCACTTGAATCCACATATCTCCCTCCCCTCCAACCCCTCCTCACTCTCCCTCTCTCTCTCTCTCTCTCTCTCTCTCTCTTTTTGGTACCAGGGATGGAACTCGGGTCCTTGCGCTTGCGCAGCAGGCAGCAAAACCACTGAGCTAAATCCCTGGCCCCTGTCAGTTTTTCATGGTTTTTTTTTTTTTTTGGTACCGGGAATGGAACTTGGGTCCTTGCGCTTGTGCAGCAGGTGGCGAAACCACTGAGCTAAATCCCCAGCCCGCCTCCTCTCTCTTGTTCAGACGAATGAGTTGGTATGTATTAAAGTTTTGAGATATCTTCTTATTTTACTTATTTTCCAGCCATAATATCAGATCTAGGGACAAAGTGTGATTCTTGGACAAAATGTGATTATTGGAGCCAAATGGCCTGGGTTTGAATCCTGACACTGAACAGCTAGCTGTGTCTTTAGTGCTCTGTGCCTCAGTTTCACCATCTATAAATAAACTGGTAAAATCTGAGGCTTCAGTGAGTGACTTCATGTGTGGCAGCCAGGGCAGGGCCCAGGACACAGCCTTGTACTGAATTGTAGGAGTCATTGCCCTTCCTCAAGGGAATTGAAGAGAGAATTAGGAGAGCTGGGATTTGGGTGTTTAGCTGGTCGTATTTACTGAATATCCATTATCAGTCAGCTGCAGATAACAAATGAATATCGTACAGTCCGCCTCACAGGCTCATAGGGAAATGCTGAAGCACACATGTACTATCAGACAGCATGCTGCCCCGGCAAAGGGTCTCTGCCCTTTCTTATTTGAGATAGAGTTTAAGTCACTAAACTGCCCAGGCTCGGCTTGAATTTGCAATCCTACTGCCTCAGCCTCGCAGAGTGCTGAGATTACAGGCACATGCCACCTTGCCTGGCTCAGCCCCCTTTCATTTAAGGTTTGATGATTATTAAAATAAATTTTAGAGTAATAGTGATGGTTTAGGAATCTTTAAGCAAAAACCCAAAGCTATTATCCTAGCATGAACTAAATATTTCAATATGGTGAAGGTTTTGTTTTGTTTCTATCATGAATAAAACCTAATAAAACACTTTAATTATCCAACCAAGTAAATTAGGATAGTAATAGGCATATATATTCTTTAAAAAATCACAAATGCCTTCAAGTTAGTTCCCAGAGTACATTATTTCCAGAGCACAAACCATGTTAGAACTTAGACAACTTCTTTAAGTACTACTAAATGAGATTTGGGGGACCTTTTATTTTTTCCCTTTTGTGGGTAGAAAAAAACCTGTGAGTTCATGTTAACATGTCTGGTTATGCAAACTAAGAGACGATAATATCTCAAGAAATGTTAGTAACTCTATTAGCCATGAAGTAACTTCTACAGAAAAATGCGTACAGGCCCACTTCCAGAAAAATAAGTGAACATATGTAAAATGTATTGCTTATCGATTCGATGTCATGTATTCAATTGGAGATATGCTGACTTTGACATCTGGCTGATCTAGATTTGAATGTGTATCACATATTTATTAAATGATTGGCCTGGAATTAAAAAAAAAAAGAAATATAAGTGAAAAGACTTTGGAAGGTATTCTGCTGAGAAAGGAACTGACTGTTTTACAGGTCAGGATAACAGGAATGTTAAAAGGATGAAATATCCCATTAGAGAGACAAAATGAGGACTGTCTTCTTTGCTTATCAACAGAGTAAGACAATGGTGCAGGTGGCTTCCAGGCCATTCATTTTCAGGTAGAGCAGGCATTCTGGAGGCCACCCAGGCCCTGGTCCTCAGCTCACCTGTGTGAAAGACGACCCACCTTTCCTATAACCCAGGTACTACCTGTATCCTCAGGGAAGAGGCCACCATCTTGGCTCCTGGCCCTCATGGTGTGCAGCTCGAAGGATAATGTAGGGACCAAGCACAGCTTTTCACAAACAGTATTATGAGAAACTATAATTCCTCAGATGTTAGTCTTCTAAGGAAACAAGATTCAGCACAAACATTTGTGTGGGATTTTCCCTAGGCAGAGCCATGACAAGTTATGATACTTTCAATCTTAACTCAGATATACATGAACATATATGCATCCTAAACAACATGTCCAAAGCTGCTGCCTAACAATAAAATGTAAGCGACTGAAAATATATTCCAGAGTACACATAAAGTTAAACCTCAAAAATGATTAAAAGGGGAATTTACAATCCAAAAGTTACTAGAGGCATACTAGAAAGCAAAGACTGAGCACAACAAGGGAGAATTGTTCTTAAGTCAGATTCGTTCATAAGCCAACAAAGTAAGTGTTACACAGCACACCTCTGAAAGTTCGTAACTCAAATGTTTGTAAGTCAGGGACGCAGTGTACTGACCCAGCTCCTCCCTAGGCTAAGAGCACATTATCAGACTTGTATATGCATCCTTCAATCCCAGACCCCTCATGTGAAAGGTGTCATTTCTGTACTCCTAGGATGTAGCACCGGACATCCTAAAAGCTGTATTTGCTAAATAAAGAACAGAGCTAATTCAACTGTCAGGAAAATAGACCCTAAAATGATTAAAGGAAGGTATAAAGTAATATCTCTGAGGGAAGATTATAATAGATTGGGATTTGTTGAGAGAGTAGGTAACTGTCAAGGGCATGAAAGGATTTCCCCTCAATTTGGGGACAATACTGGCTAGAATTGGAGTACTGTATTAATAACACAGGAAATAAGAACTAAACTGACCCTGTGGAGTCAACCCTGGCAAGGTTACTAAATATCTAAAAAGAACTTATTTCAGCCTCTCCTCCAGTCTTCTTTACCTAACACCATTGCTGAGTGATCCCATTTGCTGTCCACGTCCTGTGTGTGCTTTCTTTGGCCAGCTCTGGTTCGGCAGTGTTCAGTGGGAGGGCCCTGGACAGTCTTCCTCTCGGGGAGGTGCTTCCTGGAGTGGATCCCTTCTCCTAGGAAGAGTCGCCCCGTTGTGACCAAGCTGTCTGGATTTTGAAACCACAAACTCTCAGTTCTTCACGGGCAGCATGAAGCAGCCTCTCCTGCAAAGGACTAGATGAGCATCACAGAGGATTCAGCATGTAGGACCCCGGGCTGTTCACTTGGAAAGCAGCAATCAACCCTGAGCTTGCAGGTTGCTGTGAGATCCTACAGGGCATGACTTACATTAAAAAATATCATTTACCTACTTATCTATATTCATGTTCAGTGTTAAAAATGTAGATTATATGGATAAAGCCTTCAAGTTACTTGTACAACACTGTGCTCTGACATATGTAATGCCACACAAACACCCTTCTCTATGTGTGGTGTGTATTTGTTTTCACTGGCAAAAGTAGCATGTAACTGTATAAACCCAACATTCTGGAAGGCTGAGGAAGAACTGCAAGTCTGAGCCCATCATAGACAATTCACCAAGACCCTGTCTCATTAAACAAACAAACAAAACAAGGCTGGGATATAGCTCAGTGAGAAGACCCTGCTTGCAATCCCCAGTACCACCATGAAAAAAGGCAGTATGTTACATATTTGTTTTCCTTAACATAACTCCCTGTCAAGAAGTAGGCTTCTATATTGCCAGTTCTGTATGTATCCCACTGTATTGCTATACCATAAAATATGTAACAAATCTCCTACTGAAAGGTGACTGGATTGTTTGCAAACTCACTTTTATAATGAACATGGTGTTAAATGTTGCTGAACTTACACTGCTCTGAAACCCCTGTCATTTCTGGCTCTACCAATGCTACAGTTCACTCGGGAAGCATCAGATGTCACTGACAAGCTGTCAGATTATGGCACCTCCTCCTCAGAGTTCCACATTTCTGTACCTCTCCCAATCTCTGCAATCAGAATTATTCATATGGGGGATTCTCCATCCACACTGAGGGTTTTCCCTGCAACTTATTTTAAAGTCATTTCCTATGAATCTGCTTTTCTTAGTTGAGATTTTTAGTAAAATCCATTTTCTCAGATATTAGGAAATTAATAGAAGTTCTTGATGCCTGCTCCTCAGCTGCACCTTTGCCTGGACTCTTTATTTTCTCTTGGGGCCAGTCTTGGTGACTGAACAGCCGTCTCTCACAGGAAGCCTTCTGCAAATAAATAGACAGTTTTTTCCCCACTTCTATTCCACAATGCCATTCCCATGACTTCTGTTTAAGAATCACTTCATTTTATTCTGCACAAAATATAAGGTTCATATTTACTGTTTGTTCCTTGCTTTGTTTTCTATTTCACGAACTTCAGCAATTGCTTTTATTATTTTCTTTGGACAGACTCGGCTCTTTTCCAGCTTCTTGGGCTGTATACTCAACTTACTCAGTTTCAATCTTAATAAATGCATTCAAGGCACTGTCTTCTCCCAGATTAATTCTTTAGCTGCATCACACAGTTTGGGCAGTTTATTTTTGTCATTTAGTTCCAAGGATTTCAAAATTCCCATAGAGGATTCTTCCTTAACCCAAAAGTTCCATAGGAACATACATTTTAGTTTTCAAACTTATCTTTTACCTTTTTATTGTTGTTTTCTAATTTATTTGCACTGCAGTCAGACAATGTGATTTGTTCAACAATTTCCTGAAAGTTTTGAGATGCCTCTGAAGATCTAGAGCATGGTCGAGTTTCAGACATGCCTATGCAGCTTTGGTGCAAATTCTATTAGCTTTTTAATCATGTTGGGTAAATCTTCAAAATCTTGACTCTTTTTTTAATCTACCATATTCTAACTGAAATGCGTAAGAGCTCCCATTATAATTGTGGATTTACCAATTTCTTCTTTAAATTATGTCAGATTTTGCTGGTATATGTATATATATTTCATATTATATTCTCTGTGAATATTTTTTCTTTTTTCCCTGGTACCAAGGATCAAACTCAGGACCTTGTGCTTGCCAGTTAGGTGCGGTGCCACTGAGCTGCATCCCTCTGTGAACATTACTCTTATAGTGATCCTCTTTATTCTACTGATATTGAATTTGCCTTGAATTCTACATGTTTTCTGATATTAAAATCACTAGTCTACCTTTGCATTGGTTGGGATTTGCCCAGTATGTTTTCCCATGCTTTTATTTCCACCCTTTATTTAATCCTTTGAATTATATTCTCTTCTAAGCAGCATACAGTTGGACTTTTAAAAAATTCAAACTGATAATTTCTTTTATTAGACAAGTTTAAATTAATTCTTTGGGATTTCTACCACTTATTCTGTGTTTCCCACTTACCATCCTCCTCCACCCACACTCTAGTCTGATTCTGGTCTGGTCTTGGAAAAGAAAATGTTCTATTTCCATTGTTCTCTTTCTTGTAGATCATATTTGTATTCTATAAGGATCTGCCGGGCTGGGGATTTAGCTCAGTGATTTTGCCGCCTGCTGTGCAAGCGCAAGGACCCAAGTTCGATCTCTGGTACCAAAAAAATAAAATAAAAGGATCTGCCTATCAATGCTGGGTGCAGCACACACTTGCACCTGGAGCTACGCTCAGGCGACCCTCGGTGCCTGTGAGTTCGCCCGCTTTAACTGTTAGAATGAAGTTGGCAGAGACCCAGTTCATTTAATATAGCAGGCAGAGAATTAGACTTGTAGTCAGTGCTTTCAATCAGGGTAGGAAAAGTTTTCAATTTAGCACCTGAAATTTCTATGAACATTATCTGTAATAAGAATTGGAAATAATCCAAATATACTGCAAGGGAATAGCACTATTGTGCATTAACACTTTGGAATACTGTAGAATTCTATCAAATGTCTGCATAAAATCTAGACATAAAAATATAGATTACAATGACATAAGGATATGGAGTAAATAAAGCAAGACACAAAACACCACCTATGTGATGCTTGCTACTACATTCAAAGTGTACTCCAGTGTCCACAGGATACTTGCGGGGTGATCTAGTTAAAAATTACTTTAAAAATTTCCCCATGAAGTACTTGAGTGTTTTTCTCTCTTCTTTCTTACTCTTTTTGAAATTTTGGTTGTGGTTGTCACAGTCTTCTTCTTTCTCTTTTTTTTAAAAGAAAACCTAACTTTCAGTTCCTAACAAGGCCTAAGCTCATTTCTCATACTTTTTAGGTTAACACAAATCAGATCACCGTGGTAAGTTCATATTTCACTATATAAATGTGTGACTGATTTCATTTCCTGGCAGTGATACACATTTGGGGAAAAAAAAGTCCAACTGAAATTCAATTTAAAAGCATAGCTTAATGCCTGTCTAAAATGTGGGGTGCTCTAACCTGATTTTATTCTTAACCAGACAGTGGTTCAGAAAAAGGAAGGGGAATTTCTGTCTAAAAATCTAGTGCATTCCCTCTTGTCACAAAAATGCATTTGCCCTATTTAGAGGGCTCAATTTCCTTTGCCAGAGTTTTACCAAAGCCACCAATTATAACAGTAAAAAATAAATTTTATTTCCTCTTCATGTTATCATATATATATATATATAAAACCACATAATACATCAAAGATTTTTTTAAAACAATGTAAATACTGAAAATTTTAAAACTAGATATACAAATGACTGATTCTATTGGTTGGGGTTAAATACATTTTAAATTAATAGACCCTGCTGGGGATTTGGCTCAGTGGTGCCGCTTCTTGCCTCATAAGCACAAGGTCCCTGGTACTAAAAAAAAAAAAAATTAATAGACACTTCTTGCTTTTTTTCTAGAGACTCTGACCACCACCAGTGAATCCTGAAATGGCCAACAATTTTACTACACCCTCTACGACCCCTCAGGGAAATGGCTGTGACCTTTACACACACCACACCACTGCCAGGATATTGATGCCTCTTCATTACAGTCTCGTCTTCATCATTGGGCTGGTGGGAAACTTGTTGGCCTTGGTTGTCATTGTTCAAAATAGGAAAAAAATCAACTCTACCACCCTTTATTCAACAAACTTGGTGATTTCTGACATCCTTTTTACCACGGCTTTGCCTACACGGATAGCCTACTATGCGCTGGGCTTTGACTGGAGAATGGGCGACGCCTTGTGCCGGATGACCGCGCTTGTGTTCTACATCAACACGTATGCAGGTGTGAACTTCATGACCTGCCTAAGCATTGACCGCTTCTTTGCTGTGGTGCATCCCCTACGCTACAACAAGATGAAAAGAGTTGAATATGCAAAAGGTGTTTGCATATTTGTCTGGGTCCTAGTGTTTGCTCAAACACTCCCACTACTCATCAACCCCATGTCTAAGAAGGAGGTGGAAAGGACTACGTGCATGGAATATCCAAATTTTGAAGACATAGACTCACTCCCCTGGATTCTGCTTGGTGCGTGTTTCATAGGCTATGTGTTTCCGCTCGTCATCATTCTCATCTGCTATTCTCAGATCTGTTGCAAACTCTTTAGAACTGCCAAACAAAACCCTCTAAGTGAGAAATCTGGTGTAAACAAAAAGGCTCTAAACACAATTATTTTTATTATTGTTGTATTTGTTCTCTGCTTCACACCTTACCATGTTGCAATTATTCAACACATGATTAAGAAGCTTCATTTTCATGATGTCCTAGAATGCAGTCAAAAACATTCATTCCAGATTTCTCTGCACTTCACAGTATGCTTGATGAACTTTAACTGCTGCATGGACCCTTTTATATATTTCTTTGCATGTAAAGGGTACAAGCGGAAGGTCATGAAGATGCTGAAACGTCAAGTCAGCATATCGATTTCCAGTGCTGTGAGGTCCGCCCCTGAAGAAAACTCACGTGAGATGACAGAGTCCCAGATGATGATACACTCCAAGACTTCAAATGGAAAGTAAAAAGGACTATCTTGGACTTAATGTGAACTAGACAACCAACTCTGCAGGGCTTCTGAGGCAAATGATCATTCAAGTTCCAACTGGGATTCCTTTCAATTCTTTTCACTGGGCGCTATTTCTGATGGTCAGTGTGAAAGTAAACTGACTGATACATCAACTCAAGAGAACATAAAGCAAGTTCTAATTCATAAGTAATATATCAACAGGGAAGCTGTCTTTTTTTACTTACTTTTTTGTGGTACTGGTGACTGAACCCAGGGCCTTGCACTGAGCTACATCCACTCCTTTTTTATTTTTATTTTTTAAATTTTGAGACAGAGTCTTGCTAAGTCACTCAGGTTAGTGATCCTCCTGCCTCAGTCTCCCCAAGGGCTGGGATTACAGTGATGTGCTGCCATGTCTAGCTAGGAAGCTGTCTTAATCACTCAATATAAAAGGAAAGGTTTGTGTTAAAAGAACTCAATCATTACTGCCAATTTCCTGCCAATAGTCTGGCAAAGGAGAAAAGACTGATTAGACTGTATATTGCCAGTGTAAAAATGTTAATATTGTACAGAATTTTTGATAATGTATTTCTTAAATCTACTATTCTTTCTACCTTAGATTTTACTCAATAACATTTTGTTTTGTTGTATTTTGTTCTGATTCACAACTGTTTCACTGAACACGTTTAGAATAAAGAGTAGGATGCCACAAAGTTATGAGTAGGTCCCTCAGTGTTTACTGTTAACATTAGCACAAGTTACGGGGAAATATAATTAGCAAGAGCGATTTTGATAATGACACTGTAAATATTATGACTGAAGCAATGAAAACATCAAGTCCCCCCCGCCCCCCAGCCAGCCTAGTATTTAAAGGCCACAGCTCAGGAGCAGGACCAGGACTTTATCTGGCGGTATTCACTAGGAACTCTACTTGTCAAATTCTTCTTGGGAGTAAAAAAATATGCATGTACGGTTAGTTTTCCTGAGTCTCTAAAGGATCACTTCTTTTTTATTCCTAGGTTGCTAGAACCCTGTGTCTGTATTTCTGTGGTTTGGGTTATGAGAAAGGGCTGGGTGGGGGTGGGGAACTGAGCAGCAGAAGACACAGATGTTACTTGCCTAAATAAGACAGGAAGCAAAATGCAAAACTATAAATTAAGACCTCTCAGGATTCTTCCCAATGTTACACACTTGCTCAAACGAATACCCGGACATGAGAAAGCAGTGTGACTCTTCTAAGCACAGTCAATCTGTCTGCCAGCTCAAATGTCTTACTCAGCCCCCGAGTTTCCCCGATGCAGCATCTCTGCTGGCCATGAAACCGATTTTGGTGACCGAAGATAAAAAAAATAAAATGCTGAATCATGAGTCATACTTTAAATTTGTATTTAAAAATTTAGGCCCTGGAAATATTTAAATTCTTATCTTGCTAATTTTTTACCCAGCAAGGAAATGAATCTTAGCAGCTGATGCAACACTTCACTGAGCACAGTTCAGATAGGCACTGCATTAAATTTCACAGAGACCCTCCTGGCCTTTGGCCTCTGGTGAAGTCAGACCCTGGCATTTGTAACACCTTACGGAAGGAAGCAGGTGAGACTACACGATGGAAGTCAGCATCTGTGCACCTTTCCTTTACTCCCCCTATGGGATGTACCAAGTGAACTGGAAGGAAGGAAGGAAGGAAGGGAGGAAGGGCAAACGCTACAGTTTGTGCAAGTGCACTCAGGTAGTCCTTTGAGTCAAATCTCTAAACAGAAGCATGGTGAGGGCTATGAAAGGAAAACCGGAAACAAAGTTTCCTTACTTTCAGAGCCTCTCTAGAGTAAACTAGTACTATGACCCCCTGTGAGCCAGGAAGTTGCCTCAAGGTAAGTGACAGGGTGCTAATGGGGCTAATTCTGAGGATCCTTCAAACAAAAAAGTAAATTCCTGTGGCAGTTTATAAAGGAATCAATTGCATATCCTTTTACCTGTTAAGTTTACCATCCTCTCCCTCCACCTTACCACAAATCTGTTTATCACTTGTATTATATTAGATTCTATCTAATCACCAGGAGGTAGCATATTGACAAAAAGGTAAACTCTAAACCAGTATCTTAATTGCTTTTTTAAAGTCTCTCATCCAGTCAAATTCAGCCATCAGCTCTCCTTTCAGAGGCCCTCACTGCCTACTGGTGGCCCTGGGCTTCACTTTTACTTCTGGTCTATTCCTCCCACCAGTAGGTAAACCTGGAGCACAGGGGCAGCGCCAGATGACTCTTGTACCCGGTTACAGAACAAAAAGGTGACCTGTACCAACACACTGTTTGAAAATCACAATCCTATAAGATTTTCAACATGAATCAAGAGATATATTAACAAGTTTAAGAAATATCTGTGAGCTAGAACAACTCATCTGAGAAAGCAGATAGATATTATGAGACTAACCACATACTATGTAATGTCTTCATTTCCACAGCTCTGGGAACAAGATGAACATATAGGGCCACCTCCACTAAGTCCAGAAAAGGCAGCTGGTCAATTGGAGGGAGTATCAGCAAAGCAGTCCTAACTTGGTATCCTAGCCATAAAGACACACCCGAATTGCATGAGAAGGCTGAATGGTGTCATTTTACACCAGATGACTATACAACCCTTAAATAGGACCAATAAATCAGTAATTGGGAGAATATAATCTGGGTGAGGCTGTGAGCCCCAGGAAGATGAGGACCTTGTCTGTCTCGTACACAGAACCTGGTCCAGCGCCTGGCCCATGGAAAGTTCTCCAACAGTCATTTAACTGAAGAGCACATTTCTGAACCACTCCTAGCAATATTCTAAAGCCCTACTGAAATACCTATGAAGTTATTTCTCAATGAAAAGAAATTCCATAAATGCTAGAGTGTATATGTTCCTGAAGACAGTTATCCAAATATGTGCCCCAGAAGACCCTACAATTTAAACTACATACAGAAATGTTTGGCTTGGAAATAATTTTATTTCAAGAAGCTCCTGTCAGTAAAAGGTAGCATGCAAATTTGAAAGGGGAAGCACTGCTCTGAAATTAGCCCTCAGAAATGATCTATTTTGGTTCCTTTTCAGCTCACTATAACTTGTTACTCTCTGAAAAGCTTAAAAACACTTGCTTGTTAGCTATCAGATGAAGGATGAGAAACGAAAGGCCTGGATTAGAGTGATGTGGGTCAAGGCCATTCTCTGAACTTAGGGAGGATGACAAAGTACTCACCAGAACCACTGCTGACGGAGGTCTTCCCTCACACTCGGGAAAGCCTGTTACTCAGAAGAAAACCCCACATTTCTATGTGTGCCAAGCCTTAATGAGATAAGGATGAACAGTATTCATCCTGTACTACAGGCCATTTTCCAAGCACTGTAGGTACAGGTGTTATCTTGCTTAAGCATGGCCTAAATAGTTGGATTTTCATGATCCCCACCGTGTTGATGAGGAAACCAGACACCAAGGCCACAGGGTGCCTGGAGGTGAGATTTAAGCCAGAACCTCCTGGCCTAGTCAGCAGCCTGACCCCAAGCAGCCCCATGCCACCTCTTGTTGACACACGCTCACCAGGGCCAGCTAGTTCCCTCTGCTTGCCTGGCCCCATGCCTCTGCTACCTGTGGCCTCCTGGGCCTTGGGCCCTCCTCATCACCACAGCTGAACCTCAGCTCCCTTCCTCACAGGGCCTCCTAACTTCTCTGCAGACTTCACCATCGTTCTCACTACACCTGCTCCTTTTCCTCCTCCTCCTCTTCTTCCCCCGCCCCCACAGGAGTTAGTCTGTAAGCAAATCCTTGCTGGGGTTTTCTCCTCTGACACTCTTTCCTGTTCATCTTTTCTTTGCCCAATATCATCATCCTAGTCCAGAAGTTGGCCTTCACATATGTAAACTACTACCACCTCCTCCCCTCTGGGTCCCTCAATTAGTTAGAAACCTTGCCTTCCTTTAGGATGCTGTCCAGAAAGCCAGCACTTTAATAATTAATGACCATAATACTTGCTACCAACTATACAGCGTGGCGCTGTAAGCACTCTACACAGATAAGTTCATTTAAGCTTCACAACAGTTCTGTGAAGCTCATCAAACTCTGGCAGTCCGGCTCCAGCTCTGGGGTCTGTACTCTCAATCACTACATTTTCGCTCTTAAACAAGTAGAATTACATGCCTGCCTGGGTGTGACTACTTCTGGCCAACAAGTTGAGGGGGGCATGTTACTTCCAGGCTGAAGTATAAAAGGACAGTGAGGGGTGTCCCAGACACAGGGAGCAGTAATCTTCTCGATGGTGGCAGCTTTGCTAGGCTGAGTCCTTGAATAAGGAAGACCAGAACCACCTGAGGCCCCATCTACCTGTGTTGGACAAGGAGCACAAACTAGAAACACATGTATGAACTCAGAGCCACTGGGATTCAGGCTGCATTTATGGCTACCACATAACCTAGGTTATTCTGATTAATATAGAGCTTGACTACTTGGAAACAAACCAACGCACAGGGATATAAAAAAAGAAAAATGCAAACACCATCCAATTCTCCTGCTGAACAAATTGTTCTCTTAATCCCACTTTCATTGGGTCATTTCATGCTCAAGGACTGAGAGGAGTTCCTCACGGTCTACCACATCAAATCCAAGTTCCTCTCCCGCACTTTCAAGTCCTTCAAACCTACTTTCTCTACACTGGCCAGTATGCGCCTTTCCAATCAGTCAGGTTGGGTTTGTTCTCTCCCAAGAATAGTGTCCACATCTGGTCCTCACTGGTTGGATTATTCTGCTTCCTGCCCCTACTGTTTGTGGCTCACTCCAAACTATATTTCTCCTTTAATTCTTTTTTCCTTTTTTTTCCCCCATTAACTTTATTGGTACATTTTAGGTATACAATACAGTTACACTCATCATTGGGATCTTTTACCATTACATGAGTCTCTTGGTTCTTATTTTTTTTCCCCTTCCCTTGCCCTCCCTTCACCCCCTCCACACTTCCCTATTTGCAAAAACCTAGTTTCCATTTTTTTCCTCTTCTCATATTTTTTCCTTTCCCTTTTTTCCTTTCCCCTACCCCTCCCGATTCCCTTGCTCTTTTAGACCTTGTCTTCCTGTTACATAATATCAGTTATACATTTTTAAAATTACAATATTAACATCTAGGAGACATTACCACAGATTTTACAGAATTTAAAAGGATGTAGAAAGCATATTACAAAAAATATTTTTTGAAATAAATTTGACAACTTCTAAGAAGTACCTTGGAGGACAAATTAATGAAACTAACTCTGGAGGAAATATAAAATTTGAATAGCACCTATTAAAGAAAGTATACTCCTTGCTTGAAAACC